CTATTGATACTGCTTTTTATTTTTAAAAGTATATTAGAGTTTATCCCTTGATTTGCAACCTTGCCGAAGTGAAGTGCAAAAGCTATTCTCCATTTCCATTACATTTGTTGGAAAACCTTTGAAATGCCCCAAATTTGAAGTGGGGACAGATCCTTCAAATTGAAAGAAGATGACCAATAAGGCCAGGCAGCAAATGGAGAAGAAGGGATTTATAATGATTTTCTGTTGCCTTTGAGAGTATGCCATTTCTTAGGCCATTATTGATTTAGAACAGTGTGAGAGGTTGTGGTTTTATTAATAAGAATAGCTCACACCTTTATATAATTATGAAAACATAAAAATCAGATGCTTACAATAGCTAGCTTATTGTATGTTCTGCGAACAATTGTACAATGAATCAATGGGATAAATTGGGATTTCCAAGAATACCCAATTATAAACTTCATGCCTCTCTGAAATCTCCCAAGCCATTTAAACCGAAGAAACTCAATTCTACACAGAATTAAAATACTGTAATTATAAATGCAGCAATATTTTCTAAGGTAACAGTTCACAACTTTTTTGACTTTCCCCTATCAAACTGTTCTTCCTGTATATAAGAGCATCTTGTTGGGCAGATCTCACTGATCTGAACCAAAGGACTAATTTTAAGTAGGAGAAGTGATGAGATTTGCAGACTGCAATATTAACCAGGCTGAAGAACTATGATGCTTCACAGCCAAGTACCACTTCTTTAAACTCCAGTATATAAAACAAACAACTTGTTTTGAAAGACTTGGGGAGAAATGGCTCAAAACCAGTTGGCATAAGTGTTAGTGGGGATTAACATTTTCAGGAATTTCCTGCAATGATTATTGAAATATTGACAAATTAAGTCTATTGTGAATGGAGCTATATTTCTTATAAAAGATGACATTCATGTCTATTCTGCCTCTACTGAGCTTCAGTTGACATGCTATTGTGATCTTTTCTCAGTCAGATAATCTATTATTTTTCTCTTAGGTTATTGCAATACTTTCTGCATGTGGCTGATTTTCTGTTGGCTCTCTTCCCCAACTGAGTGCCTAAGGAATAGCTTCTGAAAGGCAAGCAGGTTCAGGTTTATCTGAGCCTTGGAGGAAAAGCTGTTCCAAAGAGTAGGCACAGCAAAAAGAGAAATCTGGTTCCACTCAGAGTTTATTACATCAATAGAAAGTCAAACACTCTGAGTCAAACAGTCCTACAAATAACTAGGTCTTTTACCATGAAGGCCTTTATAGGTAACAAACCAGTATCCCGAGTTGCATCCGTAACGTTACTGGTAACTAGTGCAGCTCACAAAAATAGCCTTGTTCAATAGATACATCAAGGTGCTCCTCTAATTACATGTGCTGCTGCATTCGGGACCAGCAGCAGTCTCATGCAAAACACATTGCAATAATCCAAATGAGAGATGACCAAGACATCAGTGGCAGTCAGTTAGGTTTCCAGATTTGGGAATGGACACAGCTGCCCACAGATTTCTGCAAAGGCTCTCTAAGCCATGGCTGCCACCTGATGAATCATCTCACTGAGAAGCCTCTCATGGACATTAAATAGAAATGGGGAGGAACCAAGGAAAGACTGGGCATCTCTGTCCATCAACATTGATGTGGACCAATCTTGGAGGAAACTTTTGCCTCCCACTCCCATCCCTCTAGTCAAAGCAAATAGATACTATAATCAAAGGTACTGGAGGCCACCAACAGAGCAAAAAGGGCCAGGATTGATGTACTCCTCCCCCTTGTGATCCCACCAGATATTATCAACCAACACAATCAGTGCTGCTTATTTCTTAAGTTTGAAGACTGATTAAAAAAGACCCAGAGTCTTCTGAATCTTCAGCCCCAAAAGCCTAAGAAGGGAATACTGGAAGTGGATCAGAAATTATGTGACACAGTTGGATGCAGTACTAAATTATAATTAAAACAATTTAAAAATAATATGCTCACTTAATTGGCATTATAGATGCTTTATATCTTATAAATATAAAGCATGCAAGTTGGCATGCAACTTGCCATGCCCCAGAATTAGCAACAATTTACAGGAGACGCATTAAATTTGCTAATATTTCAATGATCATTGTTGAAAATTCATAAAAATGTTTTTTTCTTTCCTCTAACACATATTTTATTACCACTAAAACTTATGCCAACTGGCTTTGAGCCATTTCTCCCCAGGACTTTCAAAGCAAACTGTTTATTTTATATATTTGGGTTTAATGAAGTGGTACTTGGCTGTGTAGCATCATAGTTTTTGAGCCTGATTAATATTGCAATCTGCAAATCTCATCACCCCCCCCCCTATTTAAAATTGGTCCTCTGGTTAAAATCAGTGAGATCTCCACAATAGGATGCTCTTAGATAAGAGAAAGTCAGAAAAGTCGTTCTTACAGAACCATTACATATACTGTGCTGGTATCTCCCAGGCTCAAAGTGAGGAAAAGAATACCCTATGTTTTTTAGCTCAAAAAAAAAAAAAAAAAAAAAAACCCAGATAAGAAAAGCTTAGAACAACCTGTGTTCTGCTCTAAGCAGATTTTTCTGGTTTTTATTTGCCAGTGTTATATCTATGAGCTTCCATTGCAAGCAGCCTCCAAAACTTGGCCTAAAATATTTGAAGAACAGATGTGTTGTGATTACCATGATGTCTGACTCCTCCTTTACGTTGCCATGAACATTTCAAAATGTAATATATTTGTTTGTTTTATATTTTGTCTTTCCTCCAGAAGTATAATACAGCACATATTGTCCCACTGCTCTCATAAAAATAACTTTATATGAAAGTTTGAGCTTCATGCAAATTATTTTAAGCAATTATTAAGAAATACAGTACTAAGAAATTGTCCAATAAATACCATCAGTGAAAGAAAAATAAAAGAGGCTTTCAGGAAATGGAATAATGACAGTCAAAGATCACTGCAAGGCTTTGTTGTTTCTTGTTTACAGTAAACTATACTAAGAGTAAAATCCAAGTCTTTACTATATTAAATGGTACTCCCGGGCCATTACTCATAGTTATCTCTTCTAACTCTAGTATAGAAAATGTCCCTTTAAAGATTTACAGATATACAGCTGTATTTCAAATAGACAGCATGAATTCTCATAAGTTAAAACACTTATTTAAGTACTCAGCCTGTAACCTGCTTGCAAGTTAAGTTCTTTTTAGTCTTTTGGTTAAACCTGATGAGAAAGTTTCCCTCTCTTCAGCTCCAGAAAGGAAAAAGAAAGAAAGAAAGAAAACAAAACTGCACTGATGATCAATTCTGAGATAATGCTGCTAAAAAGAAGGCATGTATTTCCATTAGACCAAGATAAAAGATTGAGCATCATTGCCAGTCTTTTTTTAATCCTCTTGCTTTTTCCCCCTACTTTTTTTTTGAAGTTCAATATTTTAAAAATAAATATGTAGATTAAAAACTGATTGCACATCCCATGTGTAGTCCCACAAATTGCTTAGAATCTGCTGAAGATGCTGAATTTGTTTTTCTCCCTCACTCCTTACCCATCCACCCCTTCCATCCATCCCAGGTCACAGCCATTTTAGTCTGATTTGGTATTTAAAAATAAGAAAAGGTTCCAGGTTAAAAGGAAGGCATCATGAGCAAAAGTGCAATAGTTACAAGCACACGAGCAATCATTGGAGATAAACTTACTGTAGCATATGTTTTTGTAGCATTCACAATCAATTGTCCAAATCAATAAATACTATGATGCCTTATGCCAGATATAGCTTGTATATGTATAAAGTTTAAAAATAGTTGCTAACTGAACAGAAGATGCTTTCCCAGTAGAATTATGGCCTCTTTTTGTTCAATTTTTGGTTTATATTAAAACCCAAAATATTAATTTATATGAAATAAGTGGAATTATATTTACTCATCCCACTTTGAACTGTACTAAAGAAAAATAAATGCTTCTGGGCTTGAGTAAGTTGACTCAGCAAAAGGCTTTAAATTTTGGCTTAACATGCTGTGTCTACTCTGTACAATATTATGGAGAAAATTACACTTGCTTAGAGTATGCTGTTGACATTCAGGATGTGGGTTTTAATATTTAAATCCTTAAAGAAGAGATGTGGAATTTCTAGCCTGCAAGCTAAAACAAACAAACAAAAAAAAAAAGATGCCAGGGAAGTTCTCCATGGACTTACCAGCAGATTAGTTCTGCTAGTCCACTACTAAAGTTTTAAAAGTTTTATACAGTGGTACTTATTACTCTATTATGAAACATTATATACGATTTCTTTTAAAAATCAGAGTTACACACTAAAAGCATAGAACTGATGAGCGAGAGTTGTAGCTGAAATTGTTACTGAGCTATTCATAATCACCTCAATAACAGTTTCTTAAGTCAGTCTCTAAGAATGAAGAGACATATGTATACTATATACCTACATACAGGTAGAACTCAATTCCACCTGTGTTCATTACATTACATTTGCTTTCCCAGCTTAGGTGAGATCCTATTAAAGTCTTTACTTTCCTCCCTTTTACTTGTTTGTTATCCTGATTTTGGTACTTTATAAGTAATTCAAAGTGGCAAAAAAACATACTCCTTCTTCTTGGTCTCCTCAAGGATCACTCCCACAGTATGTAAAATCTGCAGGAAGATTATTCTGTATATTTATTTCTTTATAAACTAGTACACAACCACAGTATAATAACCAAGCAGATGGTTCTGCTAGGCCACTTGGGGAACTGACTCCATTGTGAAGTCACAGTTGTGACTTGGATCCTGTTTCATTGCTTTCAGTGGCAAATGGCAAACACAAACCATTTGTGTTGAATCAACAACCCACCCAGCAATACAGTTTCCTTTATACTTACCACAGTTTGGAATATGGTTCCAATGGTACTCAGACTCAATGCAGCATAACAATATTTCAGACATTTTTGCTTAGGAGTTTTAGATATGAAACCCCTCTTCAAGTTAATGGAATGAATAAACATTCTCCCCAAACACCATTTATTATACACTAACCTTGCAGTGGGCGCCCTTTGAACACGTCTCTTGTGTTGCTTGGGTGAGCTCTAGCACTGTTATCACACTTTGGCTGTTCATATCTTAAGGGAGTACAGGAAGAAGAAAAGGCATCAAGCTAATGCTAATTTAATTTGAAAACTCTATCATTTCAACAGCTGTGTGATCACACTGAAACTTGGCAGAGAGCTTGACTTACTCTCGACTCTAAAATCATAGTCACACATTTATTCACATGCCAAATAAAGCTCATTCTAAAAATCCATTAATTCATGCTATTCTACAAGATAAGAATTCCTGGGCTTTTGCTCTCCTCCAAACCTCTTTTCATGAATGACTTCTAAGTGTTTATTTCATAAAATTCTGCAGGTACTTCCTTGAGTAAATAAAACTGTTATTCAAGTGGTAACTCAGTCTCAAAACTGTTAATATCTTATGGTACAGGTAGACCTGGACTTACAATCACTGTGGCTAAGCAAAGTGGTGGTTAAGTAAGTCATGCTTAATTTTACAATCTCTTTTGCTTAATGACTGACTAGTTGTTGAGCGAATCATGTAGTATTTAAGTGGATCTAGCTGTCTCGTTGACTTTACTTGTTGGAAGCCAGCTAGGAAGGATACAGATGGCAATCACATGATCCTGGGATGCCGCAACCTTGTAAATACAGGCCACTTGCCAAGTGTTCACATTTGAAAATGCGGCTGTGGAGAATACTGTGATGGTCATAAGTACGAGGATCAGTTGTAAGTCACTTTTTTCAGTGTCATTGTAACTTTCAATGGTCACTAAACTAATGGTTGTAAATCAAGGACTACCTGTATTATAGAATTACTGCTATGCCTCTTCTTTCTGGGATTTACTTAAGATGTGCTTCAGATTTCAAGTCAATTCCTCCAGACTCATTGAGACTATAGCATTCAGAATTCCCAAAGAGACATAAGATACCGACATTGAAGGGGCATTTAATACGTAGACAAAATTGGCCATGCAAAGAAGCTCCACATATCCAAATATTATATTACTCTCAGTCAAAACTGAGATTGATTACCATGATAAAGGCTTTTAAATGTATACAGCTTTTGGGGGTGTGACTTAGTCCCAGCATCACATATTTTAATTATTTCTAGACATCAAGAATCTAAAGTAATATAAGTAAAGTGGACTTTAATTTTATACTTGAATGCGGTTTTGATATTTAGGATATACTTCATGCCATGCAGTTGATTTATTTTTTCTTTGCAAGTATCTGGGTAAAAGAATGAAAGATGCTTTCAACACATTGCTTATTAATTGGATAGAACCATGCCAGGCAAGTAAAAGTGAAATCGTTCCCAGGAAATGTTTTTAAATCTCAATTCCCTGAAGTATATTGGGGCAAAGAGGAAATATCTCATTTCCATATGATATTCAGAGTGTATTATTAAATAAACACTAATTTAGGGGTAATTTATTGGTTTAGCTTTCTGCCATCGTATTTCTTATATTGATGGCAGAAAAATGACTAAATATGTTAGAAAACTACTTGTATCTAATATATGCATTGTACTTTATTGTATTTCTTATTTACTTGTGGCAGGGACCTTCTAATTTTCAAATGCTGTATAATTAAATGAATGGCAAAGGGACTGATAACAGAGTCTTTTTCCCATCACATAATGCGGTGTTTCTCAACCTTGGCATGTGGACTTCAATTTCCAGGATTCCATGGGTGGCTGGGGAATTCTGGGAGTTGAAGTCCACATATCCTAAGATTGCCAAGGATGAAAACACTGATATAATGACTTTTGAATTCACAAATTGAGCACTAAGAATATTTGAACAAATCAGTCTTCTAGAATTCCTTGGCAACTGATTTTTTTTAAATCTAATCTCTGGGGAACAATGTGATCATCTGCTGTACAAAAATGGACCAGACAGAGGGGAGGTAAGTGATTTACTCTATATTCCAATGTTTCATTTTCCCTACTGACTTTCTGAACTTTGCACTTTGGTTCTATATCTGTGTCTGATGTAAAATATGGCTATGGGATTATGTGTGATGGAACAAAAAATCACAACATAAATACACACATATGGATATATGGGGGAGATGCAGAGTTGGGGGTTAAGTCTATGTAATGTTAGAAATTGTAATAAAATTTAAGGAGTGGGGGAAAACTCTTTCCAGGCCCTTGAAACGAAACACTATATGTTTTGATACTGTTCTGGTCATGAGAATAATATATTGTTGGGATGAAATAAATAGTCCCTGCCTCCAATGTTCAATTTATCTCCTCATTGTGTGAAGGAAATGAACATTTCTGGAATTGGCTAATAGCCCAACAGATATAAGCTGCTCCATGAAGGTGCAATGCAGTTTCATGCTCGGCTTAATAGGTCCCTATGGGTGAAAGGGAATCCTTTAGAGTAAGAAGAACAGAAGCTGTTTTGATAGAAAGCTTTGGATGAAGTGGATTGTAATTGCTGTCACATGGCTTTTTTTAACCAAGTAAAGAATGACAGAAAAGTCTTTCAACTGGGTGCTCTAATGTGGCATGTGGCAAAGAGCCTGATCTCAAATTAATCTGATACACCACTCTGCATTCCTTCCCTTTTTCTGCTGTCCTTCAGTTTCTCCATTAAAACCTGCACTTCATGATTTTACTTTCAATTCTTCCTACAATTCCAGAGTTGTGTTCTATCAAGCAACATAACTATCTCAGACTTTAAATGTTGAATATCCACAGTTCCTAACTGCCTTAGCCAGGCTGGTTAATGGTGCAAAATGCTGGGATCTGTAGTTCAGCAACATCTGGAGAAACTCTTGCTTGATGTTTTTTTTTTTTCCTAGCAAAAGTAACAACCAGCCAGAAGGAGAGATGAAATATGAGCTTGATTTACAGTATTTGTTAAAATTCTGCCCCTGACCTTTTTTCAGGGTGCTGGGTGGGGGAAGGGGATTTCAAATGGCAAAAATGTTTTCCATGAGGGCTTAGTTCTGGAAATGGAACAATAGTATATAATGCCTTCTGAGCACTGAGTAATTCTGGTTTTGAGCAGAATTAATAGCAGCTGTAGCAACAACAAATCATATTGGATCAGTTCTCAGTAAACATGAGAGCTAGAAAATTGTTTTTAAAATGACATAATTAAACTTCTGACAAGAATGCAATGTATTAATGTTTATGGAATATACTGCCTACGTGCCATCAAAATATACCTGGAAATGTGAAGAAATGAGACAAAGGGGAAAATTCACCTTTTTAGTTTTAAGTGTTTCTTAATCTACATAATAATTACCCTTATCACGAATATTCAAAATGTAGTCCAATTTACCAGGTAGTATATTTGGAGTGGAAAACTTTGGTCTTTGAATTATAATTTCCACAATTCCTCATCACAGGTCATATGGCCTCTGCCATATAATCTGTCACAACAAAGTCTATAAAAACCCTCGGGCTACCTTAAAAGTGTAAGAAACACAGGCTCTTGTTATAGCAGGCTGACATTTCCAGAACAAAAGAGGCAAGTATAAGGCAGAAATAGAGGGATCAAATGAGATCAAATGAGGCTCACTGATTCACTCAGTTTAGAATTGTTGACTTTGTCTTTGCAGAGTCTCTGATTACAATCATTCTATGTCCTATTTGGAGATGTAGGGAATTAAACGTAAACTATGCTACTTGCCGCACAGCCCTTCCTCAACTGAAATTGTGAGTGTGAGCAGATATTCTACAGTTTACTCTCCAAAGCATTGTTTTGAATGATCTGCTTTTCAAACTATTTGTGCTTGTATCAAGCTAAACACACTGCATTAGTTCCTGGTGAGCTTCCATACAAGCATTCCTAAAGACGCCAAGCCCACATTGTTGCTTTTGGAAAGTGATATTTTGTCTGCTTTGTCTGCTAAATAAGGCTCTCAGCTCTTTCCCCTGCTTCTGGCTCAGTTGACGCTCATGAACTTCAACTTACTGTTTAACAGCATATTAAAAATATTGTTCTCCTTTCTACTAGTTCCAGCAGTGCTGCTCCATGGGAGGTTAATCATGTGAAAATGGGCTGAAGGAACCATTTCTGGGAGAAAATAGAAAGATCTTTCTGACGCTACATTTCTTTTCCTATAGTATATGGATGCTGGCAGAACTGATTTTTTTTTCCCCTAGTTAACCCATTTTTCTTCTTGTATTGTCCCTTTTTGCAATATAAAAGGCTTCACAATCTTAATTTTTTTCACATAAACTCTGAAGTTTGTAAAGGTTATTCCAATTTTATAGTAGAGAGTTAAATTCAGAAACAGTGATTTCCACAAAATCATATTAAGAGCCCAGTAGTGAGCAAAGATTTGAATTAATAAGAAAGCTGAAGCCCCTGACTTTATTACCTTCCTGGTTTGACAGTTGCTTAATAACATCACAAGTGCTGCCTTGCTTTTAAGCCTGCTAATAATTAATGAGAAAAATCCTATGAACTAGAGCAGCGGTCTTCAAACTTGGCCCTTTTATGACTTGTGGGCTTCAACTCTCAGAATTCCTCAGCCAGTGTGCCTGGCTGAGGAATTCTGGGAGTTGAAGTCTACAATTCATAAAAGGGCCAAGTTTGAAGACCTCTCAACTAGAGCCAGATTTAGAGATAATCACCATCCACTATTTCTTAGTCTTTACAGAAGAAATTTAAAAAAATCTATGCTTAATTTAGGCTTTTTCAATGGTCTTAGTGATGTTTTTATTATTTATATATAGCAAATATGTTTTATTTGTTCTATTACTACCTTGATTACACTGTTGGATGGAAAGATGAGATTGTGAAATAAATTATTGGTTTAAAACTGAATAAAACTACTGACAATAATGGGGATGTAATCAGAATTTGTAGTTGGGCAGTAAGAACACTTTCTACACTTTCAGTGACAAATTTGCCATTATTTTAATGGCTCATGACTATTCCCTTAGTCTTAATTGCTTACTGATTCAAACACCTTGCAATAAACTTCATTACAAAAACTGTGAATGTTGGCACTCAAAGCATGTTAAGAATGTTGATTACTCCTGTTACAATGAGGAACAGTAACATCTTTTGCAAGTTAAATTGTCATAGAATTGTTACACCATATTCATAGTCTCCTTTGTACAGTTATAGCTCTTTAAGTCATTGGATGAAGACAGCAACCTCACATAGCGCTCGCTCTCTCTCTATATATGTGTGTGTGTGTGTGTGTGTGTGTGTGTGTGCGCGCACGCGCGCGCATGCGCACGGGCATGTTTGTTCCTAATTGTCCCTCTTCCTTAGAAAACAGTCCAGATAAGAATCTGTTATTGTATGACTTCTCCAGTGAAGATCTCTTACCTTGTGGATGTACCAGGGATAGGTCGTCCTGTATCAACAAGGACACACCAACAATATCCTGTGGAGGGGTGACACTGTACTGGTTTATAAAGCCCACCATTAGCACACTCTGGAATGAATACATTATCTTTCTGGGGCTGTTTCGCTTCTTCTAATGCTGACTGGAGCTCTTGATCACATGACGCTGCTGAGAAGAAAAAGTAATACAAACAATTATGGATATTGCCTGTGCACAGATTGACTTATTGATAAATTAGCCATGAACCAATGGGAAACACAGTTTTGGAGTATGATAAAATTGCACTTTCCTTCTAACTGTGTCAATATACTAAAAATGAATGGAGAGTATTGGAAGGGCCTGCGCAAAAATAGAAGATAACAGTTGAATATTTTTATTCAGGTCAAAAATCCTTGGACAACAGAATTTTTGGCAGGGGGAATTTCCCACTCAGTATCTTGTGTATGATGCATCTTTTCTTTCCTTCAATGCAAATTTTAAAAAGAAAATTGAGACCACGAACTTTATTAAGACCAAGCAACAAAACCAAGATTTCTCTTCCTATCAGTTGTCTTCACTGGTTCTTACTGGGGGAGAGGGGATTGAAAAGGTCACTCAACTGGCTTCATTCCTAAAATGAGACTAGAACTCACAGTTCCCCAGTTTGTCATGCCTTAGTCAATATACCAAACTATCTCTCAATTATATAAGTAAAAGTTGTAAAAACTTTTATAAAAAGTTGTCAAACAAATCCCTCATCTAAAAATTAAATAAATGCTATTGGATCTAGAAGGGATTCTGTTGAGAAATCCAATAGGAAGTTGATTCCTTAGGGGTAGCTAGTAACTCGGGACCAGCTTCACTGTTATAGCAAGAGCTACAGGTGGCCTTTGACTTACAACTGGCCACTTAGCTACCATTTAAAGTTGCAACTGGCCTGAAAAAGGGGACCTGTGAGCCAAACTTGAAGCTCCAATGGTCAGGTCCCTTCTGCAATCATGGGACAGAACTCTGGGTGTTCAGCATTTATGGTTTCCCCCCCCCCCAAAAAAAAGAGAGATTCACTTAATGACTGTCACATGGGAGCCAGCACTTTCTGGAATAATTTGGATGGCATAAAGAGCTAGTGACAGAAAGACTTACTTATATCAGGAAGGAAGGAAGGAAGGAAGGAAGGAAGGAAGGAAGGATTAATTGCTAATATTTAATAGAATTATTAAATTATTAATAACTTATTAAAATATTCAAAATTTATCGCCTTTGGCGATTAGGAACTTTCTTGAGGCCAGCTGGAATGCTGATATCTCCACTATCATTTATATGTGCCTTCCTGCCCAGATGAATACAATAAACTCTTTCATGCAAATTTCATTTAGTAATTTATCCATAAAATCTTATAATTATAAAATCTTACAATCTTACCTCTGGGATTATAACGCTGTCTATAAAGTAGAGCCTTTGAAAATGATTTATGACCTAACACATTTTAGAATGTAAATTCTCCAAACCTATGTTTATTTCTGGTTGTTCTGGAATTCAATTACAATTTTATATCTTCTTATAATATCTCTGCATATCTATGTTTTTCTAGGTTTGAATTAGGTTAAATAAAATACATATTCATGTGTTAAACTCTTCCACTCTTTTAACATTAAGAAACTTGTTTTGTAAACCACAGACATATTTTTTTCTCTTTGACCACATCCACATGGCATGTTCACACTACTCTGAGAATATCAAAAGCTGTTTTTCCCCTATCTTTGTGTTTGTATATGTGTGTGTGTGATTGTGGTTGTGGTTGGCACATCTATGTTGCTTTTGTTTCAACAGACTGCATTACCAATTCTTTAGACACTGATTCCCTTCTGAAAATTGTGGGCTTTTTAAGTCAAATTCTATCTCTGAAATTTTTGTCAGATATTTTATGTTTACTTTAGTGGGCTTATAAACTGAGTAGTGTACATTCCAACTTCCTTAAATCGAGTCAAAAACAATACAGTACTGTATAAAGAGATAAATCAATAATAATTTAACCTACAAGCATCCATATAAACAAAAAAAATAATAATAGATCTTTTCACTACCACAGAGCAGATTACAGTGTTCCAACATCAAGGTATGACAGAATGACCATGTTTTAATGATTTTCCTAAAAACGAGGAGGGAAAGGACCATCTAAATATCTGGCAGAATGTTATTCTGACAAAAGGGATGGCACTGAGATGGCTTCTCTCTGTGATCCTGGAGATGTCATTCCTTAGGTGAAAAGACCTGGAGGAACTCCACTGTGATTGGATGAGGATCATATTAAATAGGAAACTCTTGTTGGCTGGGGAAATATTAGGAATAGGCAGTCTGACAGATGCTATGTCCCAAGCAATGAACAGATTTAACATCTAAGCACTTCCAAGCACCCAGAGACATTTCTCAGCAGCATCACTTTTTCAATCTGGGGTTGAGATGTAAGGTGGAGTACCATTAGTTTATTGATGAATATGTGTTCATGGATCAACTTGTCCAATGGCTTCATGTACCGTATTTTCCGGCGTATAAGACGACTTTCTAAAGCATGCAAATCGGCGCCGAAGTTGGGGGTCATCTTATACGCCGAGTCGTCTTATATGCCGGAAATTACGGTAGTTTCCGGCATATAAGATGACTTTCTAGGCATGCAAATCGCTGGAAAATACGGTATATATTCAATAGAAATGGGGAAAGAAGAAAGAATTCAGCATTGAAGACATGTTGCAGGTTCCATCCCTTATTATATTTGGCAGGCTCTAAGCATGACTCCTTTTTTGCTGTGGTATTCACACTGTGGAATCTTTTCCCCTCCCCCCCTCAAGGTGGAATCTTGTCCTTCCCAGAAGTGAGATTGGCCTGCCTTGTTGAGCTTCTGGAAGTCCCTCAAGATCTGGTTATGTCAGAAGGCCAAAGGACCCCAGGAGATAAGTGAAGTAGTAAGGTGCTCTGCTATTTTTAACATCCCTTCCCTCTATTATTTTTTTGTTTTAGCTTAGTTTTTATATATTTTGAATTATTAACAGGTTTTAGCTGTTGTATGTTGCCCAGAGTCACTTGTTTATGAGTTGGGCGACAATATAAATTGATTTAAATAACAAATATACTCCATTTTCTGTCTGAAAGTCACATCCCCTGACATTTTAGAAAGGCAGAAAATCCTAGAAATTTGATAAAGCTGATGCATTAGAGCTATTTTCACAATGTACATAAAAGGCATTGTGTGGCATCTAGAAGCAGCTTGCCTTGCAATAAAGCTTTCTTTGGATAAACATGAAATACCAAAAAGAGTCAGTAAAACACATTTGTTCAAACGTAATACAAAAGTCTTAATAATGTAAAAATGAATACTTTCTGCTGTAATTGTTCTTATTATAAGATTAATGGCTTGATTTGTCTTGCTAGGAAAGTTATTTCCTGCCCCTTGTGATCTACAATGAATTCTTTCACCTTGGATAGTCCATAGAGTCAAGAGACAGCATGTTTTTGGAAGGTGAAGGAGATGTTTAATCAGAGTTTGGCATTCTAGACAAGCTTGATCTCCTTTGCCCATTTTTCATTTTGTGTTCAAGCAGCAGAAAGCAGGTTCTTGTTTTAGGGGTGGGGAAGAAGGGCTTCTTTCATCACAGCAGTGACCTACTTGTATGCCTTACAGTTCAATAAGTTTCTGGTCTTCAGGCACTGGACAAAAGTCTTTAATATGTTGAAAATGGGATGCTTTTGTATTATAATAAATGCAAGTATCATGGCAATATTTTGATTCCAGAACTGGAACTTACAGATATAGATGAACATCACCATCGCAACCCTACTCCCCATATCACATCAGGCTAAATTATTTTACAAGTAAGTTATATTCTATTTAGCTATCCCAACAGCAACAAACTAGGTATAACTACATATGGCTTTTTTGTCCTTTTTGGAAGACTCCCCTCCTAATCTCTAAAGACAGCATTGCTTTCTGGAATGTGAATGTAGTGATAATGAACTTTCTCAGCAGTAAAGTGAAGGAATCGGGTTTTTTTTTTTAAAAAATGATGTCTTTTGCCCCCTTTATGTTAAGAGAGTCAGACTTTCAACAACTTTAAATCCAACTTTCTGGATTGTTTTTTGTTGAATTTACCAATAGCTGCTACTATGCACAAAGCAAACCATCTTCTAAGCTAGCTGTCAACATTTCTGCAGGGGACAGGTTTTTAGCATAAAGCTAGGGAAACCTGGGTTGGAAATTGAGCTCCCAAATGCAAAATAAATAATATGGTATTTCCTTTTAAGTGCCTCTAGGTCATTATTCTCTCATTTACTCCACTAAACTGATGTAGAGAAATTACACAGAAGGTACAGTTTGGGCCATATCTCAAGGGTAAACCAAAGATCCTACTAAAATTGTATTTTGAAAGAGTAAGTCATACTAGCTTTTGCTAGACTCTTCTGACCATTCAGAGCTATCTTTCCTGACAAAGCTTGGAAATTAATTTTTTAAACTTGATACTTAGACTGAAATGGGTGGCTGGTTCTGGCATCTTTCTTACCCCAGAAGTAAGGGTGAGCCAGGAAAGCAAAAAAGCCAATAAGAAAGCTGGTAGATTATTTCCTTAGTGCTTCAGCAATTTTTAATATACTCTCATGAAGTTTGCTTTTTGCATGTTTATAATTGGCTCCAATGGCTCAGTTTTTCTTTTGGCTCCTGCTGAAAACGCAGATCCATGGCTTGGCTGTGTCTTAGTCTGTGAGCAAAATAAGGGCAATCTAAAGGGAAAAAAACATTCAACTATTTCATTATTAACTATAAAGAAAGAGGAACTTTGTGTCCTGTATTCAGGATAATGTTTCACATGGTCTATGTATATAAAACCGTATATCAGGGTGAAATATTAGGTGGCTTTTTCTAGTATGAGTAACTTGGCCTAAATTCTTTGAGCAAATGATTATTTTTAACAAAGCATATTGCCATAATAAATAAATGTTATAAATTAGGGCAGCACCAACTATTCGGAAGGGATGTTTCACAAAACTAGCTTTCACAAGTGAATCATGTTAAAGCAGCTATGTTCCCTAGAGGATTCAGCACAGCCACCTCAGTGGATGTCCTGAGTGGATGCCTCCATGTATGTGTAGGCATTGCTGATTTGCTTTGTTGTCAATCACAGAAGAAGTTGATGATGGGG